CATCTACACCTCCAGATGCAGGAAGAGGGCCACCTGCATCATGAAGGACCACACTCACCCAGCACACACACTTTTTGCCCCACTCCCCTCAGGAAGGAGGTTGAGGAGCATTAAGTGTAGAACCACTAGACTGAGGAACAGCTTCTACCCTGAAGCTGTTAGAATCTCTAACTAGAATAATCACTGTGAAAAACCACATCATGTTGCTGCTGATCTGTTTCATGTTGCTGCTGATCTGTTTCATGTTGCTGCTGATCTGTTTCAATGTTGATGTGTTCATGCGTGCACATCTGCTCACAGACTCATGTTCATGTTTGTGCTGATGTTCAATGTTTTTATGTTATGAGTGCTTAGTGTATATTTAGTTGATGTTCTTCTTTGTTCATATCTTAGATGCTATTACTGTTTTTCTTATACATTTTATTGTTGGATGTAACTGGGACCCTGTGTACATAATTTCGCTCCACCACATGTACCACATGAGGTGCGAATGACAATAAAGAATCTGACTCTGACTCTTCCAGCTCATGAAACCCACAAAAACGGGAATTCAAAAAATTAGAATACTGTGAAGACATCAGCCCACACTACTACTCAGTTTTTGCAGAAAAAAAAAAGAAATTAGGATCACAACAAATCAATCAAAATATGGTTCTTTCAAAATGATATGTCAATCTTTAATACTTGGTTGTGAATCCCTTTGTCTTAATCTCTGCCTCGATGTGACGTGGCATTGAGACAATCAGCCTGTGGCATTGACTAGGAGTTATGGAAGCCCAGATTTCCTTGATGCTGTCAGATCTTCTTTGTAGTTGGGTCTGGTGCCCCTCATGTTCCTCTTGAGAAGACTCCATGGATTCTCAATGGGGTTTAGGTCCGGCCAGTTGGCTGGCCAGTCAAGCACTGTGGCATGGACATCAAACTAGGTTTTGGTGCTTCTGGAGGCATGGGCAGGGACCAGGTCCTGCTGGAAGATTAAATCTGCATCTCCATACAGATCCTCAGCAGAAGGAATCATGAAGTCCTCTAAAACATTCTGGTAGACTGTTGCAGTGACCTTGGATTTAAGAAAACAGAGTTTACCAACACCTGCACCGGACATTGCACCACAAATCATGACGGACTGTGGATATTTCACACTGGACCTCAAGCAGTATGGGTTCTGTTCCTCACCCTTCTTCTTCCAAACCCATGGACCTTGATTTCTGAATGAAAGGCACTTTACTTTCATTGGAAAAAAGGACCAAGGAACCCGACAGTTGTAGTCCATCTCCCAGATGTGTCTGAATGTGGTGGTTTTTGAAGCTGTGACTCCCGCCTCATTCCAGTCTTTCTGGATCTTTGACAGATTCTGGAATCTTCTCTGTTTGATAATCCACTGAAGCCCATGGTCATCTCTTTTGCTGGTGCATCTTCTCCTGCCACATTTTGCCCTTCCACTAGACTTTCCATTGATGTGCTTGGACACAGCACTCTGTGAACAGCCAGCCTCCGTAGCTATGAACTTTTGTGGCTTACCCATCCTATGGAGGGTCTCAATGATGGTCTTCTGGACAGTTATGTCTGCAGTCTTCCCCATATTGAACCGAACTGAAACAATTTAATGACACCTGGGGAAACCTGTGCAGGTGCTTTGAGTTTAGCAGATGATTAGTGTCATACTCAGTTTAAACATTCATGTCCTGCAACATTTGGACTGATTTCTCCACAGTATTCAAATTTTTAGAAATCCTGTTTTCATGGGTTTCATGAGCTGGAAGACCAAATTATGTAAAAATAAACGAAGAAATACTTGAAACTGTTTAAACTGTGGGCCCTGAATCTATCATCTATTAAAGATTAACTTTGTGAATGGAATTATGGAAGTGAACCAACTTTTCCATGATATTCTAATTTTTTGGAAAGGGTCTGTACTCGTAGCTAGAGACCACTTCCACAGTAGATCCTACTATGTTCAGGGGGGGGGGGGGGGGGTAGGAGGATAGGGGTGTTTGTTCCGTCTTAAGTCCACGACCATCTCCTTCATCTTCTTCACATTGATGTGAAGATTATTCTTTTTGCACCAGCTCTCCAGGTGTTCCACCTCCTGCCTGTAGCTGGACACATCGTTGTTTGTGATGCATCCCACCACCGCTGTATCATCTGCAAACTTTACAATGTGACAGCCTGGATGGGTAGATGCTTAGTCGTACATAAGCAGAGTGAACAGGAGAGGGCTCAGCACACAGCCCTGAGGGGAGCCAGTGCTGAGGGGTATGGTGGAGGAGAAGTTGTGGATCCTCACAGACTGAGATCTGTTTGTTAAGAAGTCTAGGACCCAATTACAAATGGAGGGGCTTAGTCCTAGTGTGAGTAGTTTGTCTATCAGGGTCTGGAGGGTCATGGTATTGAAGGCAGACATAAGTCCACAAAGAGCATACGGACATAGGAGTTCTTCTGCTCCAGGCGTCCAGGCAGGTGAGAGCATTGTGGATCACTGAGGAGATGGTGTCTTCTGTTCATTGATTCTCACGGTATGCGTACTGGTGAGGGTCCTCGCTGATGTTGATGGTTGTTTTGATGTGGATCATGACCAGTCTTTAGAAGCATTTAGTGACTATCGGGGTGAGGGCCACTGGCCAATACGTCATTCAGACCAGTCACTGTAGAGCTCTTTGAGACTGGGATGATGGTGGTGGTCTTCAGGCAGGTGGGAACTGTTGCCAGGGTAAGTGAGGTGTTAAAGATGTCAGGCAGCCCCTCGCAGAGCTGATCGGCACATTCTTTCAGCACCTTCCCAGGGATGTTGTCTGGGCCGGTTGCTTTGTGAGGATTAATCCTCCTGAAAGTCTTCCTCACTTGGGCTGAGGTCACGCTGAGTCATGCTCGTGTTTGGATGAGAATTTAAAATGAGATCCCGATATTTAAATGCATATTTACCTACACAGAAAGAATGTTAAACTTTTATTAAAACATGTACCACACTTGACTGCTTTAGCATCTCCAAAGCCTGACCATCGAGACGTTGATGCAGCTTATGGGCTGCAGCCGTTTCCTCCTCCACAACCAATCGCTTTTAACATGAAAGCTGCGTCATAAGAAATTCTCCGTGTGTTTTCCATTATCGCTGAACAAATGAACAGGTCTGTGCATGAAGCGAAAAATCCGGTAACAACACGGGAACGATCTGAAGAAATTGTCACGTCAACCTTGGGGGATGGTCCTCGAGAGTACCTCGTTGGTCATTCAGGTCAGACTTCTGGTCACATGATGACAGAGTGGGTGGAGTTATGGTAGGCAATTTGCAATTATCAGCAAGAGGTTTGGTACATGTGATTACCTGAGGGCATTCTGTGTCACAAATGCATGCTCCCATGACGAGTGGGGTGCTGGAAGCCATGAGTGCCTTGCTTTGTCAAAGGAAAATGTTAGTCAGCAGCTTACTGAGAGATGGCAGGAAGTCTTTCAAAATAAAAATATAAAAATATAAATTTTGAAAATTATGAAAAAAATACATAAATAAGATGCTCCTGATAGAAAGCGTGGGGTACAAAGTGTAAGAAAAAAAGTAGCGGCTTTTACACCGGCAATTACGGTATTGACTGGTAAATAATTTTTTAACAATTTCTGTTACGGAGGTGTTTGGAACTGTTCTGTACAGAGATTATGCTTATTAGATTATGCTTTGATAGATATTGTGTTCATTTTGTAGGTTTTCTTGTTGTAACCATGAGTCAGACAGCAAAGTTTCATGAAGACTTGTGACGACTATGCAGTCTGAGCGTATGTTGAAAGCGAACTATATTCTGTGAAACGCCATCTGGTGGCTGATTATTGTACAACAAGAAAGCTGCATGCTGCCGGAGCTGACTGGGCACAGTTCCTGACGAAGAACGGTGGATGCCCGCCGCCTAATAACCGGAGCGTCTTATTTATGTACAAAGTTATGATTTATCTTATATTTATTATGTGCAACGTAGAGAAAGATGTGTTTTGTAGTCTGAGAATTATAGTAAATGTTGTTGTAACTCATCCTGGTTTCATTAAAGAGATGTTGATGGCTGTGGGCAGGAAGGATCTCTTGCAGCGAATCTGGCCACAGATGCCGATCCGTCCACTTGGACCCAGCAGGCCTCTCAGTCCTTCTGGGCCACCCAGCAGAAGTCTTCCCCGAGCGATGGTCACTCCTCCCAGCAGCCTGCTGAGCTCCTTGTATGCCACGGATGCCCAGCTGCAGGTGTTGGGGACGAGCCTGGTCTTCTTGTTGTCACGAGCCACGTGTCCTGCCAGCTCCAGGATGTCGGCTGTCAGGTACTCGAACACCTCCGCCAAGTAGACAAAAATGCATCCACAGTGCCTCCTTTTAAACTCCTTTGGAATTTGGGGCTGTCGAGTGATTTGAGCTTTTGAGATGTTAATCGGTTGCTCCCGGTTGTAAAAACAAAACAAAAACACTTTGTCGTCATAGTTATGCATCATAACAAATGAGTTTTCAGTAAAAATCTGTCCAGTTGCACAGCATCCGATACCAGAGGAAACATTCATCCAAAAAAAGTGATCTAATCCAGAAAAAAGAGGAATTAAACTTTTCAAAAGCAATATGCTAGAATGAATGTAACCGAGCTACTCCAACATGCAGCCACCCCAAGTGGCACAATTCTAGAATCAACTAACTTTAGAAACATGGAAACTCTACACAGTCCCAGCTGGAAGTCGAACTTGTGACCTTCTGCTGTGAGGCAACAGTGATAACCAACAGTTCCACCGTGCAGCCAGCAACTGTGCAAAAATAAACAAAAAAAGACCTAAAAGTGACTGTGTTAAAACTTTGTCACGTGATATTCAGTGCATGGCAACACCCTAACAAATGTCAGGGCGTCCTGGTCCCCAATTCAAAGGAATGAACCTGAACAGAGACCAGACCTCCAGTTTGGGTCTGACTGAGGGCAAGGAAGCATGTGAAACAAGTCGAGCAGTCAGGTCTGTGGGGGTGAAGTGGTTAGTAAAATATCTCAGCTCACCATTTCAAACAAAAGACGAACAAGCTTTTCAGACTCTCCTCTGTACTTGGAGGTGAGCGTAGAGGAAGAGACATTGAAAAATGTGGTTCTGCATTCAGTAGCAACTGCTTTGGCCAAAAGAGTCTTCCCTGTGCCTGGAGGCCCCACCATGAGCACTCCCTAAAGAAGAAAGGAACAATCAGACAATCAAACAGACGTAAATGAAAAAAGTTACAACTCTGTAAATCAGCACCTTCCATGGTCTCCGGATGCCTTTAAAAAAATCTGGCATCCACATTGGCAGGACAACCGCTTCCTTCAGAAGTTTTTTGGGATCTTCTAAGTCTGCAATGTCATCCCTTAAAACAACAACAACAATAGACATGAGTTACATTTGACAGCAGTCAGGAAGATGACCACCTTCAAATTCAATCATCTACAGAGAAGAGGCTCAACAGCAACAATTCAACGAATGTTTCCAGCAGAACAGCATGTGACTCTGATGTTCTTCCTAATACACGTGGACTCCAACTAAATGTTAACAAGCTCTGCGCTGCAGGCTTTCATAAACTAACAGGATAAGCTGCTTTAACAGACCCAGATTCCTGCAGATCACAGCTTCTGGAGAACTACACTGAAAAGCAGGAACAGCAGCTCAACAAATCGGTTTCACTGGTTTTCTCCCAGTCTACAGTATGACTTGTTTAAAACCATGTTGGTGTCAGAAAATAAACTGATGACAAAACAAAACACTTACCATTTAACGTTTGGATTCTGAGATATGATATCTCTCTCCAGAGCCTCCACAAGGTCTTTATCGTATCCAGTCCAGTCAAATTTTTTGACTTCTTTCTCCTAGACAAACCAAAACACAAACAGCATTCTTCTCAGTTACCTGCTCTGAGAGGAAAAACTGGAATCACCATGGATGGACAGGAGGGAGGGACGGACTGACTGACTCCATCTCTTGTTCCGGAGTCAGGTCTTGGGGTGGAGCATCTTGAGCAGGAAGGCCCAGAAATCTCTTTCCACGGCCACCTCTTCCAGCTCTTCTGGGAGTACCCAAGACGTTCCCAGGCCAACAGAGGAAACTCATTTCAACCGCCTGTGTCCACGATCTCATTCTTTTGGTCACAGAGTTCGTGGCTACAGGTGAGGGGAGGAACGTAGACCGACCGGTAAACAGAGAACTTTGCCTTACAGCTCAGCTCCCTCTTCACCACAACGGACCAGCACAGAGTCCACAGTACTGCAGACACTGCACCAATCCGTCTGTCAACCTCACGCTCCATTCTTCCCTCACTCGTGAACAAAACCCCGAGACGCTTGAACTCCTCCAGTTGGAACTCATTATTTTTATGGACAAGTACTGTTTTCTTCCAAGAAATGTACTATTTGGCTTTTATAGTGTACATGAATGTTTGTGTTCAGTGTCCTGGGATGACTTCTGTTGTGACTTGACACTTTACAACTGAAGTGAATTGAAATATTCCACGTTGACATGACTTCATGAGGCTCACCTTTTCATCCTTTATTTTGCCAGCAGGCTCCTTTCCTTCCTTTGGCTCCTTCACCTCCTTCTTTTCTTTGCCTTTAGAAGGTCTGTTTCTGTCCTCGTGTCCTCGAGGTGACTGCTTCGGCTGGGCCCTCAAAGCTGCACTCAGGCGGTTGTTGGGAGGTTTGCTGTCTTTATGTGTGTTAGCTGGACGCCTGACAGGACAAGGAGAACGTGACACATCTGACGACTACAGCTGCAAGCAGCATCATGGGTCAGTATGAACTGAACGAAGACAGTGTGACAGAAGGCAAAAAGACTTAAAAACATCGTCATTCTGATTGGCATGTCTGTCGTTGAAGCAAGAAACAACAGAGTTCAAACGTTAGGAATAAATCTGCTGCTATTACATATGACTCATGCAGATCTTGGGAGCTTTTCTTTTAAATTATTTCAAACTTCAAGGAATTTGCTCATTTTGAAGTGGATTTATGTATGGTATGGTATAAAGTTTATTCATTTAAAAAAAAGTACAAAACAATTCCATAACAATATAAAAAGATACAAAAGATTTAAAATGAAAGGCAGCAGAAAGAAGAACAAATCTTATTATATCTGCCCCTTTTTTCAAACAATTATTTCAATCATAATAATTTTCAAGTAACAGAACAAAATGAATAACTTTATAATTTTTCTAATTCTAATACAAAACACACACTAAGCTACTTCATATATACTTTTTTAACAATTCAGTTTTGATCTTTTTCTTAAATGTACACATTGACTTGACATTTTTCACATCACTCTCTAGACCATTCCACAATCCAACTCCTTGGATTGAGGTAGACCTTCCCTTCAGACTAGTTCTGAATTTTGGTTTGACAAATATCTCTATCCCCTTAAGATTATAACAACTTTGTCTTTTAACAACATTTCTTTGGATATTTAACGGTAATGTGTTATTTTGAGCCCTATACATAACTGATAAAATACTGTAATCTACCAAATCATGGAACTTCAATAAGTTCAGTTGATAAAATAATGTGCTTGATGGGTGACTGTAATGCTTTCTGGTGATAATTCTTACAGCTCTTTTCTGTAAAATAAAAATAGGTTTAGTAAATGTTTTACACGCTTTCCCCCAAACATCAATGCAATAGATTAAATGTGGAACAATGATTGTGTTATACAACATGTACAAAGCTTTATCATTTAATAATTCCCTGACTTTGTATAGTACTGCAATAGATTTAGATATTTTTGTTCTTACAGAATTGATGTGATTTTTCCATGTTAGCTGTTCATCAATGATTACACCCAAAAATTTCATCTCATTAACTCTACAAATCTCAACACCCTCAATTTTAAATGGATCATCAACAGTTCTCTTTTTGTTACTAAATATCATGTATTTAGTTTTATCTAAATTTAATGATAATTTATTAAGTTTAAACCAAGTTTGTATTTTATCAAATTCTGTCTTCATCAATTCCAACATCCGTTTTACATCTTTACAATTTATGTGGAAAAGTTGTGAATACATAATATCTTACCTGCTGTAAATAGCTTTTTGAATTACCTCAGTTTGGAGGAATACTGTAATTGCCAGTGTACAAGCCGCTACTTTTTTCCTCACACTTTGTACCAAACGGTTTATATGCAGGAACGTCTTATTTATGTATTTCTTTCATAATTTTCAAAAATTTAAATTTTATATTTTATTTTGACAGACTTCCTGCCATCTCTCGGTAACTTCCTGTTGCTGACTAACATTTTCCTTTGACAGAGCTGGACGTTCATGGTTCCCAGCACCCTGCCCCTCATGGGGGCAGGTGTTTGTGACAGAGGGAATGTCCTCAGGTAATCACATGTACACGATCTTTTGCTCAGTTTCAAATACCCAACCATAACTCCACCCACTCTGTCATCATGTGACCAGAAGTCTAACCTGAATGACCAATGAGGTACTCTCAAGGACCATCCCCCAAGACAGACGGGAATGAATTTCTTCAGGCCCTTCCCGTGTTATCGTGTTTTGCGCTTCATGCACAGATCTGTTCACTTGTTCAGCGATAATGGAAAACACACAGAGAATTTCTTATGACGCAGCTTTCATGTTAAAAGTGATCGGCTGTCGAGGAGGAAACAGCTGAAGCTCTGCATTAGAGCTATCATTTCTAACCCAAACCTGGAGCCCGGCCCCGCCCGACCCGGAGTCGGACCGGGCCATAATAACGTGCTTAATGGGTGGGCCAGGTCGGTGTCGGGCTTCTTATTGCGTCAGGGACGCGCGCGGCCGACAATCCAATATATGCAAACATGGCTTGCCATACTGCACCTGCTGCACGTGGCCATTTGACCGCGCGCTGACCGGCCGGTTGAAAGAGGTAAAAAGTTCAGTTAAGCTTCAGATGGACCACTGCCAGAGACCCACCAGCCCAAATGGACGTTCATTCAGCCGCAGCACTCAGCGGACGCGCGGCCGAGACCCAAACAGGTGAGATCACAAAATATCTGACATGTCAGAGCAGGATGCAGACAGAAGCAGGGGAAGCGTTTAATGTGCTGTGACGTCCCTTCAGCTCTGAAGATCTGCCCCTCAGCCGCGCACGTCTGCCAAACATTAATAATAGTCGGTAGAATAAGCAGCCAAAGCTTAATTCAAAATGTCAGGATGTTTTCAGGTTTGGACCTGTAATTACTGTTAATTCTTCGGAGCAGGTGGGGTTCAGAGATGATGGCTGCGGGCTGGGGCCGGGTCAGTTCGGATTATTTGGACCCGAGTGCAACTCTAGTCTGCATCAACGTCTCGATGGTCAGGCATTGGCAGTCAAGTCTGGTACATGCTTTAATAAAAGTTTTAACATTCTTTCTGTGTCGGTAAATAAGCGTTTAAATACCGGGATCTCATTTTAAACTCACATCCGAACGCATGAAATAGAGCAGAGGAGACCACGAACGGCAGAAGTTTCTCCCCCCCTCCCTTATCGTCATGAGAGCTCAGTGGAGGAGAAGAGACGTTGTCAGATTTATTTTTAAAGCAGTCAGTCAAGACCGATACATATTTAAACAAAAGTTTTAACATTCTTTGTGTGTACGGTAAATATGTGTTTAAATACCAGGATCTCATTGAAGCTCAAACAGGTGCATTAAACAGAGCGAAGGAGACAATGGAAGGGTGGGGCTGTTCCCCCTCCCTCCTGCTCATATGAGCCGTGCTGAGGAGAAATCACATCAAATTTATTTAAAACGTACATTTAAAAACTGCAGCTGTTATCAAAAGGTTTACCAATAAAAAGAAATCAATGATACTAATTTAATGAATATTTACTGTATTTTACTGGCACTATTTGACTTCTGGTCACATGACCTCGATAAGACTTCTTGGTAATATTTTACCTGCAAACATGTTTTAAATAAATTTGGTTACGTAAGTGTTTGGCACTGTTCTGTCCAGTGATTATGTTTAGATAGTTATTGTGTTCATTTTTAAGGTATAATGGTTGTAACCAGGAGTCAGACAGCGAAACATCATGACGACTCATGACGATCATGCAGTCTGAACGTGCGTTGAAATCAAGCAATGGCTGTGAACCGCCATCAAGTGGCTGATTCTTGTACTACAGTAGTCACTCATTTTTCGCGGGTGTTTGGGACCACGCCTCCCCACGATAAGTGAAAAACCTGCGAAGTAGGGATACAGTAGTTCAAGTTCAAGTTCAGTTCAAGTTCAGTAAACTCTGTCATGACATGTGCCAGGCTGCAATCACACTCATCACCTGTTACTCCCAATCTCCCTCCTTAAATAAACAAGTTAAATTTAAACATTTTAAATAAACAATCCATGCAACATGGACTGTTTATGTTACAGTGTTTAAATTTAAATTGTAGAGAAGCGACATCAGGACATCACAGGACGTCACACAGCTTCAGCTCTGCAGCACGGAGCACAAATGTTCTTGATCAATGACACTGAAACAACAGAACATAGAAGTTCTAAAATAATGAAAAATAACTTAACACTTTTATATTTTGTGATCACGATGATTTTACGATGTGACATACAAACCCGATTCCATAAAAGTTGGGACACTAAACAAATTGTGAATAAAAACTGAATGCAATGATGTGGAGGTGGCAAAAGTCAATATTTTATTCATAATATAACATAGATGACAGATCAAAAGTTTAATCTGAGTAAATGTAACATTTTAAAAGAAAAATATGTTGATTCAAAATTTCACAGTGTCAACAAATCCCAAAAAAGTTGGGACAAGTAGCAATAAGTGGCTGGAAAAAGGAAATTGAGCATATAACGAACAGCTGGAAGACCAATTAACACTAATTAGGTCAATTGACAACATGATTGGGTATAAAAAGAGCTTCTCAGAGTGTCAGTGTCTCTCAGAAGCCAAGATGGTAAGAGGATCACCAATTCCACCATTGTTGCGCAGAAAGATAGTGCAACAATACCAGAATGGTGTTACCCAGCGTAAAATAGCAAAGACTTTTAAGTTATCATCATCAACCGTGCATAACATCATCAAAAGATTCAGAGAATCTGGAACAATCGCTGTGCGTAAGGGTCAAGGCCGTAAAACTCTACTGGATGCTCGTGATCTCCGGGCCCTTAAACGTCACTGCACCTCAAACAGGAATGCCACTGTCAAGGAAATAACAGAATGGGCTCAGGAATACTTCCAGAAAGCATTGTCAGTGAACACAATCCACCGTGCCATCCGTCGTTGCCAGCTGAAACTCTACAGTGCAAAGAGGAAGCCATTTCTAAGCAAGCTCCACAAGCTCAGATGTTTGCACTGGGCCAGGGGTCATTTAAAATGGAGTGTGGAAAAATGGAAGACTGTTCTGTGGTCAGATGAGTCACGATTTGAAGTTCTTTATGGAACACTGGGACGCCATGTCATCCGGACCAGAGAGGACAAGGATAGCCCAAGTTGTTATCAACGCTCCGATCAAAAGCCTGCATCACTGATGGTATGGGGTTGCATGAGCGCTTGTGGCATGGGCAGCTTGCATGTCTGGAAAGGCACCATTAATGCAGAGAACTATAGTGAGGAAAATAAGTATTTGAACACCCTGCGACTTTGCAAGTTCTCCCACTTAATAATCATGGAGGGGTCTGAATTTTTTATCTTAGGTGCATGTCCACTGTGAGAGACATAATCTAAAAGAAAAATCCTGAAATCACAATGTA